AGAAAACTATGACCTTTTTCTGCTATCCCTAAGATAGATGATCCGTGATCTTTTTGCTATAGATATAGATAGATCACCGACTACAATTTTGATCTGATTTTGATCTGATTAGAAATTAACATTAATAATATTAATGAATTTTAAGATTAACGATTTAATCAAATGAAAATAATTGTAACTATTTAACAAAACGAAATAATATTGACAAAAAGATCTTGCAAATGTAAATTGACAAGCGATGATAAGCAACTCTCTCTCTGTTTAATGATATTATCAGGGGACAGTGAAAATTGTTCATGGTTGTTTAGAGAAAAAAAAGAAAAAAGAAAAAAAAGGAAAAAAAAAGAAAAAAAAAAAGAAAAGAAAAGAAAAAGAAAAAAAGATTTGTTCTCACCGTACAATGTTCGACCTATTCTCAGCTTGTCGTAGCAACTGAAATTTACCTAAAAAGTACGAAGATACGCTTATGGACTAACGTAAAAATGGAATATTTGCGTACGAATATGTTTAATGTGTACATTCTTTGTGGTTCATTCATAGTTCTAGCGACAACTTACTATTACTTATTCTTGTAATTCATTTTTACTCTCTATAAAATATTATTATTATTATTATTATTATTATTATTATTATTATTATTATTATTATTATTATTATTATATTATAATATTATTATATATTATTATCATCATTATTATTATTATTATAATTATTATTATTATTATTATTATTATTATTATTATTATTATTATTATTAATATTAATATTATTATTTATTATTATTATTATTATTATTATTATGATTATTATTATTATTATTATTATTATTATTATTATTATTATTATTATTATTATTGTTACTCGTAATGCTAATTACTTAAATTTTCTCAATAATCATGCTACGAGGACAAGGACTGTATAGACTGTATACTTTTTGTATACTTTGTACTTTTGATATTAACAAATTCGCGTCAATTCGTTTCTAATATCGCTCTCTTTCTCTCTCTCTCTCTCTCTCTCTCTGTCTCTCTCTCTCTCTTTTTCTCTCTCCCTCTTTCTCTCTCTCTCTTTCTCTCTTTCTCTCTCTCTCTCTCTCTCTCTCTCTCTCTCTCTATCTATCTATCTATCCATTTATCTATCTATCTATCTATCTATGTTTTCTATCGCAGAGAAAGAAATAAAGAATAAAATGACACACTCGATGCTCGCAGTACTAGACATGAATTAATATGAAAAAAATTTGTGAAACATCGTATTATATACAGATTATTACTATAATGACTATAAAAAGCATGATCGTTGGCCATACAATGGAATATATATAGATATATGATATATATATTTATGTTAATGTATAAGACTCTAGCTAATTAAAAGAAAAAAAGAAAAAGAAAAAAAGGAAAAAAAAAAAAACGAAAAAAAAAAAAAATTAAAAATAAAAAGATACATGGAAATAAAAAATGACGACGATGACGACGACAATGACAGTTATGATGATGATGATAATGATGATGATAAATACCTGATACTGGTGTTCTCTGAAACATTTTAAAGGATATCGGGGAACGAATGCTTTTGCTAAGAGCATCGTAAAAATTAATTTTCTTATCGATAAAAGATCAATAAAAAGATTCGAAAGAAAAAGTCCCGATATGTGAGTGTCAATAAAATGTTCGGGGATCGAGCGTTGAAAAAAATTACATTAACTTCGTAATTCATTATTATTATATTTCTTTAGAATACGTATGTTTAAAGGAAAGAAAAAGAATCAAATAAAAAGAACAATGACAGAGTAGACGCACGATCATTCCGTAAAGAGGGCCCAAAAAATAATGTAAAACGGCATTTAAAAGAGACGCACCTTTAAAAAAAAAAAAGAAAAAAAGTAACAAGGAATACTTTCAGAGATCGCTAATTTATCTCTTTAAAAGTATAATAATAATAATAATAATAATAATAATAATAATAATAATAATAATAATAATAATAATAATAATAATAATATAATAATAATATAATAATAATAATATAATAATAATAATAACAATAATAATAGTTAACAAAAGGGAAAAAAATTAACAAAAAGAAAAAAGGATAAATAAAATAAACAAGTTTTAATGTTATATCGTGGTCGATTAAATTATAAGAAAACAACAAATATATATATATATATATATATATATATATATATATATATACATATATATATATATATTTATAGACACACACATAAACACACACACACACACACAAAAATAGAAAGACACACCAATACCTACGAACTAAGAAGACCATCTTTAATGACGGAAATATTAGATTGTAAGAATACACATTTTGTATCTGTAATTGTAGATACAATGCAAGAGAGAGTAGGCAAGAGTAAATAAATCTAACTAAGAATTCAAATGATATTAATATATAGAGATCTGTATGTATAATTAATTGTAAGTTCATTCTCATCGCTATATTATAACTTAGATATATATATATATACATATAC